TCCTTTATGACCAAGATATTGGGGGATACAGCTAGCACTTTGTATCGGTGAGAATACTTCAAATGGGAAGTATTAAGTGGGAAAAACAACCCCACAATTCTGTAGCCTAAGTCAGCAAAGGTTTGTCTCCTGCCCACACTGCATGCAGGTCGAGGCCACCACTCCAAATTTCTGTTCCAGTTTTATTGCTGCATAACAAATCGTCACAAAGCTAGTGACATAAAACAATGGTCACTTTATTATGCTTGCAGATTCTGTGGGCAAGGAAGTTAGCAAAGCATCTTCTCACTTGGGGTCTCTTGTACAGTGCAGTTGCAGCCAGATGTGGCCTCCTGCAGACATGAGCGAGCTGATCACCTGGGAGAGACCCTCCTGTGGGTGCTGTCCACTGCATGGGGTTCAGATGAACTGTCTACCAGCCCAGTGGTCAAAGGGCAGTTGGACCTCTTACAACTTCCTGGCTGCCCCCAGAATGAGCATCTTAAGAGAACGGGTTGGGAACTGCATGGGCTTTTGTGACTTAGCCTCAGAAGTAACATAGTGTCACTTCTGCCCCATTAAGAACAAACGACTGGCCTACCCAGATTCAAGGGAAGGGGAAGAGACCCACCTCTTGTAAAGAAATTTCAGACATGTTTTTAAATTGCCTGCACCTGGAGCAGTAGCTGGCAGAAGGGAGCTCACTATGGAATCACACCCAACAGTCCGGCACGCTGGCATCTCTCGTCAGTCTTTGAGCGATACGGTCTGACCCCAGTAATGACGTTATGTTGGAATGAGGCCTCCTGTACTTGCTATGTATTTCTTACAAATAAGGACACAGTACTTCACATGGTACAACTTTTATTTTAAGTGAATTAGGAAGCTAAACATTTTCCCCCAAAGTCATACAATTAATAGAGAAAAAAATACAGGGTATTTATGTAGTTTTGAATTGGGGAAGGCCTTTCTAAACAAGATTTAAAAGCCAAGAAGCCACAAGAGACATATTTTAAATATTAGACTCCATAAAACTTTTAAATGTGTGTATAGGAAAAGATACCATAAATAAAGCTGAAAGCTAAAAAATAAAGTGGGTAAAGCATTTGCCATCTAAATAACAGACAAGTCAGCAGAGTAATATAAGCATAAAATAGTATGTATCTAATAGGACTGTTGCAAGGATTAAATGAGATTAAAGTACCCAAAGTAAAAATGCTTAATAACTGATAGGTTCTATCCATGCTTTTATAAAACGCACCTACAGATAATTTTTTTTAAATACAGCTAATAGAAAAAGGATATGAATGAGCAATTCATGGAAAAATATAAATGGCCAATAAACATATGAAAAGATATGTGGCCTCACTCTTGATTAAATACAGAAGAATTTACAATGAGATTTTTTTCTACCTTTAAGACTGTCAGGGTTGAAAAAAAATGTAATATTTCTGTGCAGGCAAAGAAGTAGGGAAATTGACATTCTTATTTACTGTTCTTTGTTCCTTGATAGGTAAGGCATTTTTTCCCCTCTGGGTTCTTTCAGGATTTTTTTCCTTATCTTTGATTTTCTGTAGTTTGAAAATTATGAGCCAAAGTATAATCTTTTTTGGCAGTTATCTTGCTTGGTGTTTTCTGAATGTCCTGGATCTCTGGTTTGGCGCCAGGCATTAATTTGAGGAAATCCTTCATCATTATTGTTTCAAATATTTCCTCTCTTCCTTTTCTAGTTTTTCTTCTGTATTACACTATCACACCTTGTAGCTGTCCCCAGTCTTTGGATATTCTGTTTTGTTTTTCAGTCTCTGCTCATTTCAGATTGGAGTTTCTCTTACGGTTCCCACTGCTGTATCTTCCAACTCAAATTTTCTTTCCTCAGCTATGTCCTGTCTACTCATAAGTCCGTCAAAGGCTTTCTTCATTTCTGTTACAGCGTTTTTTATCTCTGTCATTTCTTTGTGGTTCTTCCTTGGGATTTCCATCTCTTTACTTACATCACCTTTCCTTACATGGTGTTCTACTTCATCAGAATCCTTAGTATATTAATATAGTTGTTTTAAATTCCTGGTCTTATAATTCTAACATCCCTGCCATGTCTGGTTCTGATGCTTGCTGTCTTTTCTAGCTGTGGTTTTGGCTTTTAGTATGCCTTGTAATATTTTCTTGATAGCCAGACATGATGTACTGAGTAAAAGGAGCTGCTGTACACAGGCCTTTAGTGATGGTGTGGCTAGGTGTACAGGGAATGTATCGTAGTATCCTGTCAGGTCCTAGTCCTTGGGGAGCCAGTGCCTCTCTGGACTGTGAGCTCACACATGCCTCTCAGCTTGTCAGTTAGGCTCTGATAGCACCCAGCAGGTTAGGCCTGGGTAGGCTAGTCTCCCCCCAGGGCCCACCTTGTTAAGGGGAACAGAGTACTTTGAAGAACTTCAGAATTCCTCTTCCTCTCCCACTTCCAGAAGCAGGGGGGAATTTTCCCCAATATTCACTATGGGGGTCTGATTTGGCTCTTGCAGGTAAAGTTCACAAAGTGTGGGAGTACCCTATGACTGGGTCCCCCTGGAGCATTTCAGTCAGATGTGTCCACACCCAGCCTCCAGCACCTCACTAACTGCAGTCAGGTTTCTTACCTGAGCCTTGGGTTTCCATTCTTAAGTCTCTGCTCTGGGAAGCCACAACTCCCTGTAGTCACGTCTCTGTCTCTCCAGCCTTGGGGGCAGCAGTCCTGTGTCCTCGCTTCTCTTACGGATCCAAGGAGAACTGTTGATTTTTCAGTCTGTTAGGATAGAGTGGTGACTTCCAAGCTCCTTATGTACAGAACAGGAAACTGTCTTACTATTGGTGGAGTGGAAATTGGTGCCATATTTAATATGACTCTTTTTATTTTATATTACTTCTTCATATTTAATTATCTACTAAAACTAAACATCTACATGTCCTTTAACCTAGCATTTCCCCCTTTTATACTGGCATGAATGCACAAAGATGTAATTATCAGAATTTTTTTGCAGCTACATTTTTAGTATAATAATAGTTAAATAAAAGATGATATATTTGTATGATAGAATGCTATCCAGTTGCTAAAAAGAAGTGAGGTAGCTCAGTATATCCTGATTGCTCAGTATATCCAAGATACATTATTAAATGGCAGGAGAAAAAAACAAAAAGGAATTTCAAAATGGTATGTGTAAGATTCAGTTTTTGTTTAAAACTTATTCATAGTAAAAATGAAAGCATGTTTAGAGAAGTAAGACAGTTTTAGAGGAATGTATACCAGAAAATCTATTGATTGCCTTTGAAGGGCAATGTTATAAGGCTGTTAGCATATATATTAATGACTTTGGTGTCTTTGGTGATGAATATGTATTTGATAATTAGGTGAAAATCTAAGAAAGAAAATAAGGAGGGACAAGCAAAGCTAATTGAGAATAATAGCATGGAACCAGTTGTTTCCATCACTTTTCCCTACATCAGGCAATAATGCAATACTTTCTGACTCTAAATATTAATTTACCTTCTGAGAATAAGGTGGTAGAGTGGGCTCAAATAGCTGGAAGACTTAAATCTTCTTATGTCTCTTGCTCCTTCAGCAGATGACAGCCATTAAGATGACAAGGGTTCCAAACAGAAATGTTTTACCAGTGAAATTTTTTTCACTTAGAGTTTTTTATTGTTAATCTAATAAAAATCTTTATTAGAAAAACTTTCCCCCTCTGCAGAGAAGCACTTCTTTGATTCTGTTGTGTCAGAATTAATGGTTTGTTTTACCCCAGAGATGTTTTACAACATTTATCTCTTCCATAAAAGGCTGACTAAAAATTAGATTAGTGGAACAGTGATAATGGTGAAAGTTATTTGACTCTGTTTATAAAATATGGTGTGTATCTACACTTTTCCTGCTTAAATAAATCTAATACACTCTGCAATATGGGCGAGTATAGACTAATAATTCTTCAGAGTTACCTGTTCTGTTAACTTCCTAATGTGACTAAATTCCATTTTCCAGTTACATCCTATTTTGGGTTTCTGGACCCAATCCCAGCATTGGGGTGGGGCAGGGCTTTCCCACACAATACAAAGCAGTTCTCCGACTCTAGCAGAGCATCTGAGAATTCAACTCAATTCTGACACTGTCTACCCAGAGATAGCATCAGATTGCACAGATAGGGGTCAGTCCTATAAGACTGCCTCCAAGCCACTCCCTGCCCTCCCACTTCAAGATGCCAGGCAAAAGCATGGTTGTTACCTGTGTTTCTGACCCACCAGCTACTGACTGGAGGGTCCTGTGACCCACTCCTTGGACTTCAGATGCTAATTCAAGTCCAGGCTGTCACCTGTGCTTCTGGCTGACAGGCTGTAAATCAGAGGTTCCCTGGGTTCTATTAAGTTGGTAGAGTGGCTCACAGAACTCAGAGAAACATTGTATCTACTGGATCACCAGTTGATTATAAAAGGATGTAACTCAGGAACAGCCAGATAGAAGAGATGCATGGGGTAAGGCATGCGGGAAGACAGGCAGCTTCCACTCTCCCCGAATCCCCACAGGTCCAACTGGAAACTCTCCAGAAGTTTTGGGTTTTAATGGAGGAGTCACTACGTAGACAAGACTGATTAACTCTTTGTCCAGACCCCTGCCGCTCTCCTCTCTGGAGGCCGGCGACTGGGACTGAAAGTCCGAGCCCTCTAATCACATGGTTGGCTTCTGGCAATCAGCCCCATCCTGAGGGCTTTGTCACCCTTTGTCACCTCATTCACATAAGGTAAGACAACTTTAAGCTCTCATCACTTAGGAAATTCCAAGGGTTTTAGGAGCTGTCGGGCAGGAACCATGATCAAAAACAGAATCTATACAAGAAGTACATATTGGGTCATCTCAGTGAGCAAATAGATTGATATCTCTTATAAATCATTACATTATACATCCTAACATAGTTTTTTCTTCCCATGTATGATATGTTTTTCTAAGTGATTAATTTTATATAATAAATTTTTCTTGTTTTATCCTCTGCATTTTGTAACAGGAGTCCTGGAGGGGACTTGGGTACCAAAAAGAAAAAGAAGAAACAGAAGAGAAAAAAGGAGAAACCAAATTCCAGAGGCACCAAATCAGACTCTGCGTCTGACTCCCAGGAGATTAAAATTCAGCATCCTTCAAAAGTGAGACCCCTGTTTGGTGTTCCCCCATGTGGTCCTCATGCATGTGAGTGGGTTTGCACCCTTAGTGTCCTATGCACCAGTGGTGTAGCTCTGGTTTGTTGTGACTGGGCCCTGAGTGGCACTGGTAACCGGAGGGTATTTGCAGCCTTCCTGAAACTGGCATGCTGTGCTCTCTGTATATATGGATTCTGCCTGCATTTTCTCCTTTCTCAGCAAATTAGTATGTGGGTTGTAGTCAGAGAGGAAAGTCAATGTGAGCCTTTAGGTTTTTTTTGAAGTTATGCTCAATATTTGATTATTTCAGTTCAGAAGACATTCACATTTTAATTTTTCTGGGTGTCTATCTAATTACCTGAATAGCACATCACCATCTTGCAGCAGATCTCAGCAGGAGCAGCTCCGGCTAAGTTCTACCATGACTCTGAATCCGACCAGTCTGCAGTGGCTCTTCTTAATTCCATTGCCAAATAGCTACTAATGATCCCCCTGCAGAAACACCCATTTGAGACCAAACCAGAAGTTGTCCAGCTGAGCCCTGAGTGGGCAGAATGCTGGCCTCCTGTGTGTCTGGTGGCACAGATGGCAGGCATTTCTTTCTGTGGGGCCAACCTAGTCCTCCTGGCAGTAAACACAGGCCTTGTGTGCTGAGCCCAGGAAAGCACAGGGCCCTCTTAATGCAGGAAACTCATAGCAAAAAGAGGTAGAATAAGAAGTACAATGAAATAATGATTTTGAAGTTTGTAGCTCCAAATAACTTGTTACGGGTGATATGTGGTGTAAGGGAAAGGGCTCAGGATGCCAGGTGGGAGACCCGGGCTCGGTCCTGCTCACAAGCTGTGTGCCTTTGCACCATGTGTGCACCCATGTCCTCATCTGCAGAATGGGGGTGGTGCCTTCTCCCCAGCACAGGGTTGTTAGGAGGTTAGAGTTAGATCATTTTTATTAAATGGTTTGTATATTATAAAGCACTATATATACAGCAGTTATCACCACCACACAAGTTTTGTGGGGTTTAGATTTCTTATATAAATTTTACATTGTATTGCCTGAAGTGAGTCTGGCAGGCAGTTTTTGTTATTACCTGTTTTACATAAAGACCAGGAACCATTGAGAGGAAAGTCACTTGCTCCAGTTTTTCCCTAACTGCCCTTGTGGGGTGAGAAGAAAATGAAGTCTTTCCCTCTAGCTTTTCCACTGGGTTCTAGGTAGCAAGTGTTCTACCCATGCATAATTTCCAAGGTATCTCATGCAAGATACCCCATAAACTTGCAAGGTGTTTTTTCCACTTCTAAGTGTTGCTTTATTGGATAAGTGCGGTGTTATGTATGTGCTGTTATACTGCTTCCACCATGGCTTCCAGCTTCTGCCCTTCTCTGAGCCCAGTGACCTTGAGCTCTTACTCCGCTTGCTCTGACCACTTACAAGTAATCAGAGCTAGCCAAGGCAGGAGAACAGTTAGCATTATAGGGTAAAGGAGTCCTTTTCTTTTTTAACTGAGAATAAGTCATAGTCATTCAAATATGGGCTTTTCTCCGTCGCATTTTTTAAAACGGTCTCCTTTCCCTCAAGCTGAAGGCAGCCCTAGATGGCACTGTGGGTGATACTGGATTGTGCTTAGAGAATATTATGGTCTGCACTCAAGAACCAGAATGAAATCTCTGTCTGGATTCTTACAGACTTCTCAGTGGTAGAGGACTTAGACATTTTTTCCAGGGTATTACATTTGGAAAATAATGGGGAAAGAGTACAGCTGATGTTTAGTATTCCACAAGGAGCAGGTATGGAGGAAAAGAGGTGTGTCTGACTCTCACCTAAGGAACATAATAGTGGGAAGCTAATGCAGGGTTGAAATACATTCTCACTTTTCCTAACACAAACATTTCTCCCAAGTGGTTATCACTTTGGGAGGTGAATGGAGAGGTTTAAGAATTTATCTTAGATGAGTTTCCTTACTGCTTTGTCAACATGGATTTGAAAATTATGCTCACTTGAATCTGCTTTAGGAAAGTATTTAAATAGTGAGATTTCAGGTATAAATATTTCATGAATAGTCATTTTACGTAAAGACTGCTGAGTAGGTAGGGCTTCTTCTTGGAGTTAGGATACCATTGGCTCTTTTGGAACAAAAATGCTGATTAGTATTGGTTGCCAGATAACTTGAGCTTGATATGTTAGTGATAGAGGGTTTAATTCAAATATCAGGAAAGAAGAATTACCATGACAAATTCAGTGCAGGCACTGTAAGTACATTTTTGTGACACTGGGTTCTACTTTGCCTTTTTAAAGATAAATGGATGCCCATTCAAGCATTATTAGTTGAAATTCACTGTACTCTCAGTTCTTATTTAAGCTGCAGGTCTCCTAATAGATTGGTTTGTTGAGGGTTCAAATGGATGTAAATGTCATCTTGCTAAGAATCAGTTACTTTCATGTTAAGATTCAAATGAGACCCAAGTAAGAGAAATCTAAAAATACAATAAATTATAAACAATAATTTGTTAAATTAATATGTGTAACTGAGATATATGACCCTATGATTTATACCTCTATCAGAATTTAAAATAAAAGCCTATAAAATGTGTGATAGTCCTTAAATTTGTAAGTGGAGACGTGAAGACTCTAACGTGCCTCTAGTTAGGCTCTAGTACTTCATCCTTTAATCATTTTCATGGCAAGAATCCTCAGGAAACCCAGTGAGTAGAGCAACCACAGGACGGTCTATATGAAAGAAACCCATTTTGTACTGTGTCAAATGGGTACGCCTCCCAGGTGAAAGGATTTCCTCCAGAGCACAGACATCAGATTCAAAGTTGAGCCAGTTCTAGAGCTGCTGTTTATAAACCATTGAGGGGCAGTGGTACCTTTCCTTGGTACCAATGGTGGTTTCACATACAGGAAAACCAGAGGGCCCTGGAATTCCTGCTAACCACTCTTGAACCACGTGAAGAGCATTCTTTGTGTGGCATCACAATCGTAAAACTTAACATTTTGCATAGTGAAAAAACTCAGGAGTTTCTATGTTCACTCCTATGTACTGTCATTTCAGATATAGTCTCATTTGCCATGTAGTATTATATTACTTGAAGTGTTTTCCCAAAAAATAGCTGGGCCATCTTCAGAGATGACAGGAATATTGCTTTGAGGAAAGAACTTTAGAATTCAAAGGTATTTTCAATTTTACAGACTGAGATTACGTTTTATTTGAAAGGAGGTTGGTTTCCACACTTGGGTAGAGAGAACGGTTCTGGGTCCTGAGAGTGTGAATTCATGAGGGAAACTGCTTGTTCTCATTGGAAGGTTTGCCTCTGGAGGGCATCAGGTCTCAGGGGAAGGCAGGCTGTGGTCTGGGAGGAAGGCATTCTTAGAGGTTTCTGTTCTTGATAGACTTCCTTCCCAGCTCAGCACTAAATTCAGATTTCTTTCTTTCTTCCTTTTTATTAATGAGCTAAAAATTCTCTTGTCTGCCTGGTTTCCATTCGAGAGGTTATTTCATTTGTCTCCCAATTGCTACCGCAGAGCTCCACCCCTAACAATGAACCAAGGCAGGTAGCTGGCTGGCTGCTGTGTGACAGTGATGCATGTGTTGCATGCCACCCCTTTCTGCTGCTCTGCCCAGTGAGTAACGGTGAAGACCATTTGCAGATGGGTGAGAAGCTGAAGCAAAGGGTGGCCCGATTTACCTGAAACTCCCCAGACTATCAGATTCCTATAAAACCAAAGAGTTTTGTATCTTTAACCTGATGTGTTTGCTCCTATTTTATAGGCTAGCATACTTGAGCCCAAGGCCCTGACCAGGCACAGAGGAGGACTGTTCGTCTTCCTGTGTCATCGTCTCCCAGGCAGATTCACGGGATCTGCCTGAGGGCCTGGAGTGGCGGCAGCCTCTCCATGTTATGTGACTATATGTCTTTGCTGTTACAGAATCCCACCATCCCAATGCAGAAGTTGCAGGATATCCAGAGAGCAATGGAGCTGTTATCCGCATGCCAGGGCCCTGCCAGGAATATTGATGAGGCCACCAAGCACAGATACCAGTTTTGGGACACACAGCCAGTACCCAAATTAAGTAAGCTTTTCTTCCTTTTTCCCCCCTTCAAAATACAAAGCTAGGTTAACAACAAACAAAACAACTACAAAAGAGACTTTACTTCACTTGTATAATTTGTTTATACATGTGATTAGATTAGAAATTTACCCCGAAGTGTTGTTTTTCTTCTTAAAAATATTGGGTAGTGACATAGGCTTTCAGAGACAACAATTTTAGTCTAATTCCTATCCCTGTAATAAATCCAGTTCCCCACACTCAAAACATTAGTGTATTAAAAATACATATAAAAGAGGGAGTATCCCTCACCCTTTCTTTTTTGCTTCTGAGCTTCAGAGTTGTTTTTCCTATACATAAATTTTTAGCAATCTCACATGTCAGTTATGCCAAAAGACACAGAAAATTTGCCCTGTTAAATCACTGAAATAGAAAATTTTGTGCTATAAGATTTGAAACATTTGCCAGCAGTGTTAAATATTAGCAGCTCCATAGCATTCCAGTATAAAAAGGGAATCGGGACACCACATGAAGGCCTTTGTAAGGACCTTGGGTCACGCAGGCCTCATCCTCAGAGCTTTGCCTACTTGTCACATCTCACTGAGACTTTTACCACTTACGTGTCTGTCAGCATCATTTAATTGTTCCTCTTTCACGTTCTTTTCACATTATTCAAAAAGAGATGATGCTTTAAGAGCCACAAAAATGTTTATGTAAATGTCTGACAAGCTAAACCCTCTGTTTTGTATTATGTTTGTAAAAATAGATCATATAATTATTTCTATGTTTTTATTTTTTGGTTATTCAGGTTTCCAGAAGCTGTATAATTTAAAGGATTAATTTGCCACCTGAAACTCTTAATAACCAATAACATACAAATAATCAATTTTATCACATAAATCATGGAACAGTCCTCCCTGTGCCTTCAAATAATGACTTTCCAGACTTTTTTGAAGTTACCCCCTCACCTCCCACCCATGCCCACCTCAAGCAGCTTAAAAAGCATGAGCTTCTAAGTGTGAAAGAAAAGAGTTAAACTTTTTCAGGCTCGAGAAAATGTGTTTGGTAGTGGAGGAAGACTCTCTGGAATGAGTTTACAGGATTTCAGATGACATCAAATTGTATGACCGTTATTTACAGGGATGTAGATTTATTGATCTGAATGCACTGGGTTTAACTGAATTCTGTTGGCAGGCTGCCCTGGGGACAAGAGAGCCACCTCTAGCTGGCACCTGACTCCAAGGTACCTCTTCAGGAGTTAGGACAGGTGCTCACCAAGTTTTGACCCCTCCCCTAAGTCCTGGCAGGATTCTCCAGTTCCCAGAATAGCCATCCGCATCTCAGTTAAGGCAACACCCAGGTTAGTGGGGAAGAGGGAACTTGAGGTTGGGGAGACCACCTCTCTCTTTGTTCCAGAGCAGTGTCCCACTTCAGTAAACACATCCAGCTGTTCATTTCTGTGAGAGGGGCTGGTCCTCTTACGTGCTGCTAGCAAGTCCTTGAGCAAAGATCCAAAGGGACAGGGACCCTAAGGGAGCAGCTGGAAGTCGGGCTACTGGGGTGTCTTGAGGAAGCCTAAGATATTCATATGGAGATGAGCTGGTAGAGTAGAGGTTAAGTGCCAGTATAAAGGCAGGGATCAGAAAGAGAACAAGAGTCCCCTTGGAGTGGTACAAGCCCTGTGACTTCCACCTTGTAAAGAGGTCTGTGATGGGGAGAAACTGTACCAGGGTCATCTATTCAGCAGATATTGGGTTTTTTTTTTCCTTTCTGGATTTATTCATTCATCTGTTCATTTAATTGAGATATAACCGGCATACATTATATTAGTTTCTGGTGTATAGCACAGTGACTCAATATGTGTATATCTTGTGAAATGATCACTACAATAAATCTAGTTAACATCCATCACTATGCAGTTACAGGATGTTTTTCCTGTGATCAAAACTTTAAAGATCAACTCTCAGCAACTTTCAAAGTTGCAGTACAGCATTATTAGTCACATGCTGCGTGTTACACCCCCAGTACTTATTTATCTTGTAACTGGAAGTTTGTACCTTTTGATCACCTTCACCCATTTCACTCACCTTGCACCCCTTACCTCTCTCTGACAACCACCAGTTTGTTCTTTATATCTGTAAGTTATTTTTTGTTTTTCATTTTTTTATAATGCCACATTTAAGTGAAATCATGCTGTGTTTATCTTTCTCTGTCTGACTTTATTTCACTTAGCATAATGCACTGAAGGTCCATCCATGTTGTTAAAAATGGCAAGATTTCATTCTCTTTTTATGGCTAAGTAGTATTTAGCAGACATTCACTGAGTGCCTATTATTACGCTCCAGCCCTTGGGTGGGGTACTGGGGAAGCAGTGGTGGAAAAGTAGGATAAATGGTGGCCAGGTAGACGGTAGAGAGGACATATTCCAGTCAGGGAAAAGCTGTAGTCAGGGAAAGATTTGAAAAAATTAATGTGTGAGCTCATACCTGAAAAAATGCAGGTGGCCAGCCACATGACAAGCAGGGCCATGCAAAGGGGACAAGGGCCTTGAGAGCAGAGGAGAGCCCCAAACTGGCCCTGAGCTGGGGCCAGCCTGCGGGAGGTGTGGGTGGTGGGAACCTGGGGAGCAGGGCAGGGTGGCTGTGCCGAGGCCAACGTCAGGAACCTGGGTTTATCCCAATCACCTTGGGAAGCTGTGGAGAAGGAATCAGAAAAGGCCATCTTTGTGGAAATCACTAGAAACATTGATGACTTGACCTGCACAGACAGCAGTCCTGGTTGAGAAAAGTGGACAGTCCTGAAATTAATTTTAGATTTTGCTGGGAGGGGTGGAGGTCACTGCAGCCCTTTCTGCCCAGTTTGTTGAAATGCCAGATGCAAAATTTACATCCCTTAGGCTGTCCTCAAGCCTACATTATCTACAGTTGTGCTGCATTAATAATCTGTGATAACAGTGATTCTCCCCCATGACCTCGCTACCCAGACATGTCTGAAACCCAGAGGTATTTCACTCCAGAGGTGGCTGAAACAGTAGCATGTTTTAAAGATTACATTAAACCCAAGGGCCCAAAAGATTATTTTGTTTAATGTAACAGACCATTTGGGATTATCAGAATGCTTTGTAATTGAATATTCTCTCTTTTTGTTTCTTCTTGACTTTTTCTCTCTCTCCAGATGAAGTAATAACATCTCATGGTGCAATTGAAGCAGATAAAGACAATGTGCGCCAGGAGCCATATTCCTTGCCACAGGGTTTTATGTGGGACACTTTGGATTTGGGTAATGCTGAAGTGGTAAGTAACACCTTCAGTTCAACACCTGGGTTCCCACAAAATTTTTTTTTTGGCTTCTGAGTTGGTTCTGAGCACCATAGATAGGACACTTGTTTGGTCTTGTAGCTCAAGGAGTTATACACATTGTTAAATGAGAATTATGTGGAGGACGATGACAACATGTTCCGGTTTGACTACTCACCCGAGTTCCTGTTGTGGTGAGTCTTGCCAGCCACATGTGCTGTGGGTGGGGGTGGCTGGGTTGACACGTGTGTGTGTCCCTCTATTCTGGACACTAACTGGTGCCTGTTTTCCTTGCCTACGTTGACTGCAGGGCTCTGCGTCCCCCAGGCTGGTTTCTTCAGTGGCACTGTGGGGTCAGAGTATCTTCAAACAAAAAACTAGTAGGGTTCATAAGTGCCATCCCAGCAAATATTAGGATTTATGACAGGTACGTATTAAAGCTTGCCCATGTCAGTTTTGATGTCTCACTTTTCCAAGAACTTCCGTTATAATAGGCTTTTTAAAGTGGCTTGATGCAGGCTGTTGATAGCGGTTGTATGAGTGTGAGGTGTATATGGGAACTCCCTGTACTTTCTGATCAGTTTTGCTGTAAAAACAATTAATTTTAAAAAGTTGGTCTTTGAACAACAACAAAAAAAGGGCAACTCTCATTATCTCTGTCTACCTATATCTCTTTTTCTCTCTCTGCCTCTCATCTCATACATGTACACAAGTACATTTTATGTACATATATGCACACACACATACTCATGTATATATGTGTGTATCAGAATAAATCTATAGGCAGATATTTCATATTTATTTTTGGGATAAGAAAATCACTTAAAAAAATTTAGGAGGAATTTTTTTAAATCTTTCAATCCATAGGTTAAGTATGTTACATTTTTGCTCTGTATTTCTAGCCCAGGAAGTCCAAGACACAGCTATGAAAGTCAAGGACTAACACATCATAGATCTGTTTACCTTCCAGTATACTGGGTTAGCTTATTTGCTGCTAAAAAGCATTTGATGTGAAAGATGCCTCGTGCCAAACAAAATGCGTGCCTGTTTGGTCCCAGAGCAGGAGATGGACTTTGATGCTCTGAAGTTTCAGTTTACCTCAGAAAGGCACCAGCTTGGGGCTGGTCAAGGCACGTCTCAGGGATCCTGGGGATTGTATTGTATTCCTAACAACATCTTATTTGATACTGCATCTGAGTGACCCAGTTATTGCCATAATTGTATACATTACAGGAAAAAAATTTTTAGAAACTTTGAGGCACATATAATCCAGTTTCTAAACTGAAAACTTAACAAAAGAACAAAGTCCTAAGATTTACCTAATGAGGGAGTTGGTATCTCCATGTGCTCATGTTATAAGCATCATTTTGGGGAAGTGTGGGGAACAGTATATCAATCTCAATGTGTGAATGTCTAAGTGATAGAAATTCATTTTTAAGTATTGTGTTAAAGGAGGTCTTTCAGTTTCTTATACTTTGAAATTTACGGGTGTTATTTTTTTTAGTGTTTTCATCTTACATTCTAATTTTTGATGGCTTTCTCAGTGTGAAGAAGATGGTTGAAATCAACTTTCTTTGTGTTCATAAGAAATTGAGATCAAAACGGGTAGCCCCAGTGTTAATTCGAGAAATAACTAGAAGAGTGAACCTGGAAGGGATTTTTCAGGCTGTTTATACCGCCGGAGTAGTTCTTCCTAAGCCAGTGGCCACGTGCAGGTAACAGCACCACATCCTCACCCCACATCTACCTTCCCCTGGCCCGTGGAGCCTCTCTGCCAGGTCCCCAGGAGTGTGACTCTCCCCACAGATCTTGGGGATTGTGGCTTAGCCACAATTACGTTGTTGTGGGTAGCAGAGACAAGAACCAAGCACCACAGCCCAGTGTTCTTTGAGTACCGTACAGCCCCTCGGTGATAAAGGCTTTTCACGTCTTCCTGCTAATGGGCTGGATCTGTATTTCTGTGTCTCTCCCATTTGAAAGGCCAGAGCTGTCACTAACCTGGGGCGCCCAGGGCACTGTGGTCTTGAAACGTCCAGTGCAGTGCATCTTCCTCCCTCCCTCCCTTGCATGTGGAGCACTGTTTTGTACCACAGTCTAGGTGCTAACCAGGAACTGCTCCAAAAGCTTAATGGCATCGGTTGAAAGGCCCCAATGAACTTATTTGCCAAAGGAAGAAGAAGGCTTAGACACTGTTTTTATGTCGTCATCTGCTCTTGTCAAGCTTTAAAACGTTAATCCAGTGAGAAAATGGTTTATCAGATGGTCGCTTGACTAACCTTTTTGTAAAGTATCAAAAAGAGTTTATCTCCCTCCACTATTTTTGACTCAAATAGAATGAAACTTCAGTTTAACATAATATGAAAAATAAAGCTGTAAAATTACTATCTCCTATTAACTTTTTCATAAATAAATAGAATAAGATTGCACAGGTATATTTTCATGTAAATCAGTCATCCCAGTACCTAAACTGAAATCACTTTAAGAAATTCAAACTAATTTCTCAAAAAGTTGTTTTCTTTGGTGTGCATTATATAAAAGAGAAGGCTTCTCATTCAGGAGGAATGTTTTCCTGCTTTTAAACTTTTTTATTTGCCTCTGTAGAATCAGCGATAGTCATGCAATAACTTGCAAACTGGGTATTATTAATACTTATTTGCAATTTTAAGATTCCTCTTTTCTGAAAGAGATAAAAGGTCACAAAGTGCCTAGGACCATAAGTAGGAATGCAGGACCGATTTTAGACATAAAAACAGCTGATAAAATAATTGCATAGGAAGAGAGCAGCATCCTCACTGCACCATGCCCAATGTAAGGGTTCATTAAATGCTTCTGACATAGCTGAGCTAAGACAAAGAGTGAAAGCTTGTAGAGTTAGAAACCAATCAGATTTTAAAACCTTTCTTGTATTCCAGATACTGGCATCGATCACTAAACCCCAGGAAATTAGTAGAAGTGAAATTTTCTCACTTGAGTAGAAATATGACTTTACAGAGAACGTTGAAGCTATACAGACTTCCTGATGTAAGTAAGAATGATTTGTAATTTTTCAAAGTTGTAATGATAGAATCTTATAATGTAGAAAAGAAGTATTTGCAGAATCTTAAAAACTGGCTCACATGCCTAAGGATGTGAATACGTAGCTAAAAAGACTGCAAAGAGCTGCTGGGCAAGAGAGTAGGGGAGCTCATTTGAAAATACAAGTTTGGGGTTTTTTTTAAAGACTTCTCAAGTTCTTCAGTTGCAGTTGGATGAGATTAAACTCAAGACATGTACATTTGAAATTTTGACTATTTAGGTCTGTTACAGAAGATGGAAGAAAAGTTCAGGCTTCCAAAGATATTTTAACACAGTGGAACTCAGGAATATGGTTTAGTAGACAGACCCAGGGAGAAGAAATAATGTCTCATTAAATTATTATCTTTGTAAACAAGCAAACTCCCAACATGGACAGTTGTCTCTTAATAGGGGAAAAGTTAAATATGCTTACCAGTCTTACTCTTCTTTGGGGCTTGGATAATATATTAGTTACTTATTGTTGTGTAACAGACTACCATAGACTCAGCATCTGAAAACACACATTCATTATCTCCCAAGTTCTGTGGGTCAGGAATCAAAGGGAAGCTTACTTGAGGCCTCTGGTTCTCATGAAGTTGCCATCAGGGTGTCAGCCAGGGTTGGGTCTCTTCTAAAAATGTGACTGGGTGGATCCACTCCCAAGTTCACATGGCTGTTGGTGGGCTTGAGTTTGTGCAGGCAGTTGGGCTCAGGGCTTTAGTACCTTGCTGGCTGCTGGCCAGACGCCTCCCTCAGTTCTTTGCCACACAGGATTCTCCACAGGGCTACTCACAACATGGCAGCTAGCATCATCAAAGCTAGGGACGAGAGTCTACAGAGAGAATCTGCCAGCAAGATGGAAGTTAGAACCTTATGTCATCAGTTCATGAAAGTAACATCCAGACCCTGTTGGCATATATCACTGGTTCAAAGCAGCTCACAGGCCCCACCCACACTCTAGAGGAGTGATCACAAGGGTGTGGACGCCAGGAGGCAGCACCACTGGGGCCCATCTTAGAATCTGTCTGCCGTACGTGGGGTCTTCTGTTTGAAGTTTTGATTTCATCAGAGCTGTTCTTCCTTATAGGTTGTTAGAAAGTAGTTTTAGTAAATTAAAAAAAAAATTTTATTAAGGTGTTATTGATATACACTCAGATGAAGGTTTCACATGAAAAGACAATGTGGTTACTACATTTATCCATATTATCAAGTCATCACCCTTACTCCAAAGCAGGCACTGTCCATCAGTGTAGTAAGATGTGACAGACTCACTATTTGCCTTCTCTGAGCCACACTGTTTTCCCCGTGATCCCCCACACCATGTGTACTAAACATAATACACCTCAATTTCCTTCTCCCTCCCTCCCCACCTGCCCTCCCACACTCCTACCCTCTGGTAACCACTAGTTCCTTCTTGGAGTCTCAGAGTCTGCAGCTATTTTGTTCCTTCAGTTTTGCTTCATTGTTATACTCCACAAATGAAGGAAATCATTTGGCACTTGTCTTTCTCCACCTGGCTTATTTCACTGAGCATAATGTCCTCCAGCTCCATCCGTGTTGTTGTAAATGGTAGGATTTGTTTCTTTCTTATGGTTGAATAGTATTCCATTGTGTATATGAACCACATCTTCTTTATCCATTCATCTACTGATGGACACTTGGGTTGCTTCCCTATCTTAGCTATTGTAAAAAGTGGTGCAATAAATATAGGAATGCATATGTCTTTTTGAATCTGAGAAGTTGTATTCTTTGGTAAATTCCAAGGAGTGGAATTCCCAGGTCAAATGGTATTTCTATTTTTAGTTTTTTGAGGAACTTCCATATTGCTTTCCACAATGGTTGAACTAGCTTACATTCCCATCAGCCGTGTAGGAGGGTTCCCCTTTCTCCACATCTTCACCAGCATTTGTTGTTCTTAGTCTTTTCTATGCTGGCCATCCTTACTGGTGTGAGGTGATATCTTAATGTGGTTTTAATTTGGATTTCCCTGATGATTAGTGATGTGGCGCATCTTTTCACGTGTCTGTTGGCCATCTGAATTTCTTCTTTGGAGACCTGTCTCTTCATATCCTCTGCCCATTTGTTAATCGGGTTATTTGCTTTCTGGGTGTTGAGGTGTATAAGTTCTTCATGTATTTTGGATGTTAACCCCTTGTCAGATATGTCATGTACAAATATATTCTCCCATACTGTAGAATGCATTTTTGTTCTGCTGACGGTATCCTTTGCCTTACAGAAAGTTTTTAGTTTGATGTAGTCCCATGAGTTCATTTTTGCTTTTGTTTCCCTTTCTCAAGAAGATGCATTCAGGAAGAAGTTGCTCATGCTTATATTCAGGAGATTTTTGCCTATGTTGTCTTCTAAGAGTTTTATGGTTTCATGACTTACATTCATGTCTTTAATCCATTTCGGGTTTACTTTTGTGTATGGAGTTAAACAATAGTCCATTTTCATTCTCTTGCATGTAGCTGTCCAGTTTTGCCAACACCAGTTGTTGAAGAGGTTGTCATTTCCCCATTGTATGTCCATGGCTCCTTTACCATATATTAATTGACCATATATGGTTGGGTTTATATCAGGGCTCTCTAGTCTGTTCCATTGGTTGATGGGTCTGTTCTTGTGCCAGTACCAAATTGTCTTGATTACTGTGGCTTTGTAGTAGAGCTTGAAGTTGGGGAGCATAATCCCCCCAGCTTTATTCTTCTTTCTCAGGATTGCTTTGGCTATTTTGGGTCTTCTGTGGTTCCATGTGAATTTTAGAAATATTTTCTCCAGTTCGTTGAATGTTTTTGGTATATTGATAGCAATTGCATTGAATCTGTAGAATGCTTTAGGCAGGATGGCCATTTTGACAATATTAATTCTTCCTATCCGTGAACACAGGATGTGTTTCCATTTATTGGTATCTTCTTTTATTTCACTTCCTTGGTTAGGTTTATCCCTATGTATTTTATTATTTTTGATGGAACTGTGAATGGAATTGTTTTCCTGATTTCTCTCTCTGCTAGTTCATTGTTAGTGTATAGGAATGCCACAGATTTCTGCTTATTAACTTTGTATCCTGCAACTTTGCTGAATTCAGATATTAGTTCTAGTAATTTTGGAGTGGAGTCTTTAGGGTTTTTTATGTACAGTATCATGTCATCTGAACACAGTGACAGTTTCGTTTCTTCCTTACCAATCTGGCTGCCTTTTATTTCTTTGTGTTGTCTGATTGCCGTGGCTAGGAACTCCAGTAGTATGTTGAATAGAGGTGGGGAGAGTGGGCATCCGTGTCTTGTTCCTGATCTTAAAGGAAAAGCTTTCAGCTTCTTGCTATTAAGTATAATGTTGGCTGTGGGTTTGTCATATATGGCCTTTATTATGTTGAGGTACTTGCCCTCTGTACCCATTTTGTTGAGCATTTTTATCATTAATGGATGTTGAGTTTTGTTAAATGCTTTTTCAGCATCTATGGAGATGATCATGTGGTTTTTGTCCTTCTTTTTGTTGATGTGATAGATGATGTTGATGGATTTTTGAATGTTGTACCATCCTTGCATCCCTGGAATAAATGCTACTTGATCATGATAGATGATCTTTTTGATATATTTTTTAATTCAGTTTGCTAGTGTTTGTTGAGTATTTTTGCATAAATGTTCGTCAGGGATATTGGTATGTAATTTTCTTTTTTTGTGGTGTCTTTGCCTTGTTTTGGTATTAGAGTGAGCTGGCCTCATAGTTTTAGTAAGTATTTTAACTTGATTAAGGGACTTGTGTGGAATGTAGCCATGTTCCTCTAGGCACAGTAAACTCTAGTTCCTTTTGTCCTTTGTCCAAATGTGTGTTTCTGAAATGCATGTAATCAGTAACTGTGAATTGATGTACTTTTTCAATGACAGGCAAGAATCAACTGATTGCTGATCTTAGGCAGAACTTAATAAGAGTATAATGAAGAAGTGAAGGAAAACAGATGTTGGAAATGTCAGGATCATTATTCTTGGGCCTCACAACCTGACAGAAGGATGTCAGACACTCTCTTCCCTCTGTCGTAACTGGCTGACATTCAGGGCTCAGACCTATGAACATATGCCTCTGACGCCATGGAGGGAGGAGAAAAAGGTCAGAACAGAGGAAAATAAAAACCACAGGCAATGTGAGGAAGGAGGTCCTGCATGACCAGGGAAGAAGGAACAGCCATAGGGCCAAAAACAAAGGGAAATGGATAAAGGTGGGTGCACTGAAAATGGAGAAGCAGGAAAACGTTTGGAGAAGTCATGCTGTCAGTGCAATGATTCGTATTTACTGGCCGGTGCTCTCTAAGGCTGACTGCCAAAACCCAGAGCAACTGAGGGAGAGGCACACAGAAGCCATGAGACAGCGAGGAAAGGGGCACGGGACACAGCTAAAGGGGAAATAGCCCTGCAGTCCCCACTCATCCTCACTGTCCTCCTCACCTGTGTGAAAACATTCCGCTGTCTGGGAGCTGAAATAAAGACTTCCAGGAAGCCCACTATGTTCCCTACAGGCTAATGCTATCCTTCTCTGGTACCCAGGTTTCAGCTTATTGCACCTAAAGCCGTCTGGCTTCTGTGTAAGCACCCAATTCCATGCAGGTAGCCTAAAATGGAATGAAGAATAAGGAGTCTTAAATACCTATCATCATAGGTTTATTCAAGTTGACTAGCATTTGAGCTGCTAAGAGTCTTGATTTGACTTTGCCCATCATTCTTGATGTTTTTGTACAAAGACCAGTGAACTCAGTTGTAACAAGTCGGTAATGTATCACTGGTCAGGCATTAGGTTTTCTCTCCCAATAAATTGAAGTTTATAAAGTACTCTCCTATATATTATACAATATATTCTCACAACAGCCTTTTGAACTTGGTATTTCTTACCCACATTTTACAGGTGCAAAGACCAAGGTTCATAAAGGTTGACACTTAGGACAAGGGCCTCACTAATAAGTGGAGGACTTGGGATGCCAG